CATGATAACCATGAGATCATGACCTGAGCCAATGTCAGATGCTTAACCGACTGAGCAATCCAGGCACCCCATAAGGATGATCTTTTAAAAGTTAATAGTTTTAATTTGCTAGTTTTTAATATCTAAAACCATATCACACATACAACATTAAAATTCAAAGGTAAGTATGGTTTTACACGTTTTTTTAAATAATTTCATTAAGACTGGAGAACGGGTGCCTGGGTGGCTCAGTCAGTTGAGCATCTGACTTTTGGTTTTGGCTGAGGTAATGATCAGGTTTGTGAAGTCGAGCCTATACTGACAGTGCAGAGCCTCCTTGGGATTATCTCCCTATCTCTCTCAAAATAAATAAATAAACTATTTCATTATTTTTATTTCATATGGATATGGAAGAAACTGATAGGGCTTTACCAACAACAAAAACTCCAGTACTAATTTTTCACAAATTTGAAATAAAAGTAAAATTAAAAAAAACAAATCAGACCTTTGCATAATTGATTCAACTAATAGTACCTTTCTGTTTTTTGTTTTTGTTTTTTTTTAGTACCTTTCTGTATATGGAGATGTATTTATTTAGAAAGACTTTAAAAGTATATAGATAACCTACCTATAAGCTCTTCCTTTACCTTATCTACTTCAGATAATTGAATGTAAATTTGGTTTCTTTCTCCTTCTAAGGTTTTTAAAGATGCATTTAACTTTGGAGAACGGGAAAAGGAAAAAAGCAACATTAATCAATTATACCAAAAAAGGAAAAACAAAAAATCTCAATATACCATTCCAACCTTTAAAGTTCTATCACTTCGATAAAATTATCACCTAGAATACATTAACCAAAAATGTAGCTTATATCTTGAAAAGTTAACAAAGTCATTAGTAGTCAGAAATGTCAAGAGAGGTAGAGAAGATCAATGGCACATCCTTAAAAAGTGGCTGTTTTCATTCTATATACCTTCAACACATAAGTTTTAATTAAAGTAACCTTTAAACTATAATACCACAACTTCACATAGATCAGTAAAGATCAAGATACCACTACTGTGATGCAAAAGAAATACATCAGAAGAAAATGGACATAGTATTTACATCTCAAATTAGGATATGGGGCAACAGGAATAGGAAAATACTGAGACCAGAGAAGAATGCTTAGACAGAAATAATGAAAGAAAATATACTAAACATTTTTCATTTACTCTTCATCTAAAAAAATTAGTGCAGACCTTAAAACTTTTTTATTATAATAAATTCTAAAAATTAACTATGGGGGCACCTGGGTGGCTCAGTTGGTTAATCATCCGACTTCGGCTCAGGTCATGATCTCAGGGTTCTTGGGTCTGAGCCTCGCATGGGGCTCTGTGCTGACAGCCAGCTCAGAGCCTGGAGTCTGTTTCAGAATTTGTGTCTCCCTTTCTCTCTGAACCTCCCTAGCTCATCCTGTTTCTTTCTCTTTCTCTCTCTCTCTCTCTTTCTCTCAAAAATAAAATGAACAATGGGCACCTGGGTGGCTCTGTTGGTTAAGCATCCAACTTCGGCTCAGGTCATGATCTCACGGTTCATGGGTTCGAGCCCCGAGCCCTGCGTCAGGCTCTGTGCTGACAGCCAGCTCAAAGCCTGGACCCTGTTTCAGAATTTGTATCTCCCTCTCTCTCTGACCCTCCCCAGCTCATGCTGTTTCTCTCTCTCTCAGAAATAAATAAAACATTAAAAAAATTTTAAATAAAATAAAATAAAAATTAACTATAAATTTTTAAAGTTATTATCAAAAAGAAAAAAGCAATTGATAAAGAAAATTCTGATCACTTTGGAAAATTTGGATCACTATAAAATGGACTTTATAAAACAGTTACTAAGGCCATATGGGTTTAATCCAAATTCTATTTCTCTATCTTTATATTACTATAGTAATGCAAACCTTAGCGGCATGAATCAGTTTCTTCAAAGCTCCTTTCGGTTGATTATCTATAGTAAAAAATAAAAACAACAATAAATTGGGAAAATAGTGCCATGCCACAACAGATATCCAGATGATTTTATTAGTTCATGCAACTAGAGCCTTATAATCTCTCGTCTTGCTACAATAAAGAATTTGATATAAGGCAGAATGGCCTTGGACATGCTCCCAAGAAGATACACAATAAAACACTGGAAGTACCATAATATCGTCAAACAAGATTCTTCACAACTCTCTCTAGGGACAAGTTTATAACAAGAATTTGGTATTCACCCAAATACAGTACACAGTCTCAACTATTCTTGGGATCCTTAGGCATACCAAATATAAGTGGAATTATACTCCAAATTAAAGTAACATTAAACAAACATGCATTTTCTATTAGAAAAAGAATTGCTTCTTTTAAAGCAAAGCAGAAATAAAAAAGTACAAACAGAACCAACCGTATGGGAATGTAATTTTCATCCAATGCATTAATGTTATCATCAAAGAAATTTTTTTTTAAATCATACCTTCTGTTCCTTAATACATTTGTTAATTATGCAGGGAGTAGAGAGAGAAAGAAGAGAAAGGTCACAGAAGCCAGAAGAGCTACCACAGGGAGAAACTAGTGAAAGATGCATAAAACACTTCTTTCTGTACTCTTTTTGCAAATTCCAATGAATCTATAATTATGTCAACATAAAATTCTCTTTTCAAGTCAAAGGAATTGATTTGAAAATATAGGGAACAGCTACAATGAACCTAACTCCTGCCTTAGTTTCCAGCAGTGATGATAACAATTTGGGGTGGCCAAGATTAAAGTACTGAGCCATCTAATTAATACAAAGTATCCTCAGGCATTCATCTGTATAACACTCATTTTTCAAACTACCCACCATCCAACCCAATTAGCAGACATGGCAGGGAAACATAGGCCCTGAAATGATTATGATGCAATGTGAAAATTGCTATAACAAAGATTTGAACAACATATAAAAAGCACAGGCAGGAAACAGGCTGTAAGTCTGCCTGAGGAGACAGAGAAAGATTTACTGAAAAAGCAATATTCCAACTAAAGCTTAACAATTAAGAACGGTGTGACAGGGGCAGAGTATTAGAGGCAAATGGAGAAGATGTGCCAAACTAGAATTGTATAAAGAACGTGATACACATAGGAAACTAAAAGAAAACACAAGGGCTACTTATCATTTTAGCAAAAGAGGATGAATCACGACTTCATACCCAACTTCATACCATTTTCTGATTCACTCTTCATTTCCAATTCCAAATTATCATCATTTGTTAAGTCTTCTCCAAGCACAGCAGCCCAATCTTTCATCTTTATCAAGCGTTCAGTCAGAGACTTGACATTTAGTAAAGAGGGATAAAAGAGAGAGAAGGTAATAATGCCTTATGCTAACTGATTTACAACTTCTGAATGTGTAGTTATAGTTGAAAAATCAATCTACACAGATAACAGTACATGACCTCTTATTCACCAGCTGATATTAAGATAAATACCCTGAAAAACTGTAATATTTATTGACTGTTAAACTACGCAAGTTAAAAACCAACACTGACTATTCCTAAATCAAATCCAATACTTGATAATGGTCCATTTTTACTAAATATATTGCATGACTATAAAGTAACAGAATATTTACTATATTACCTTCTTTCATACCACAAATAACAGTGGCCATTAAAATAAGAGTAAATTTTTTGTGCGGTCAAACATCTGCAAGTGAGGTATGTGATATATAAAAAGAACACGGGCACCTGGGTGGCTCAATCAGTTAAGCATCCAACTATGGCTCAGGTCAAGATCTCGGTTAAGTGACTTCAAGCCCCACATCGAGCTCTGTGCTAACAGCTCAGAGCCAGGAGCCTGCTTTGGATTCTGTCTCTCTCTCTCTCTCTGCCTCTCTCCCACTCACACTCAGTCTCTCTCTCTTTCTCTGTCTCTCTCTCTCTCTCTCAAAAATAAACATTAAAAAAATTAAAAAATAAAAATAACAGATTTTACAGATATGATTTATTTTTTTTAATGTTTTATTTATTTCTGAGAGAGAGAGAGAGAGAGAGAGACAGCGTGAGCAGGTGAGGGTCAGAGAGAGAGGGAGACACAAATTCTGAAACAGACTCCAGGCTCTGAGCTGGCTGTGAGCACAGAGCCTGACACGGGATCAAACCCATGAACCGTGAGATCATGACCTGCACCGAAGTTGGACGCTTAACCGACTGAGCCACCCAGGCGCCCCAGATTTGATTTATTCAAGTAAATGTCTAGCTGAGGAATTCACCTGAGATTTTAAGAAAATTGTAAAACAGAACCTGACTTGGTACATTAAAGGTTTTCCAATAGTACTTTTTTAATCTTCTTGAATTAAGAAAGATTTCCTAAGCACTAATGAAATGACTATGCTGACTATTTCTGTGGAAGGACACATCTAAAAACCCATTCTGCTCTGTAATTTCTACCCTCAATCTCTCCGTCTTGAGAGTTCCAGGCACAAATAACATGACGTAAAACTCTGAGTATAGCTTGAGATTAGCATCTCATTCATGTTCTGTTTAGGAAGAATCTCAAGTTCTTTCGTAGAGTAAGTTTAAGGTGAAAAAAAATGAAAGAACATGCCAAATTACAAATACAACTAAAGCTGGAATCTTCAAAACCTTCGTAGCAACAACCTTAAGAGCATAAAAAGGTTTCAAGATGGCAATGTTCACTTCACTGCATATACTACTGAATGTTAGTTTTACACCGTATTACTTGATACTCACACCTGAGTATCTTTGCAGGTTGAAAGCATAAGATTTAAAAGAGAAGACAGGAAAATGGGGTAGAAAGGGGAAACAAGCTTAAGGAAAAGTGAAAAAATCCTAAAAGTAATATGTTTTTATATTCTTATTAGAGTTGTTTCAATTAGACTTATTTTTTGAAAAGTATTCATCTCCATGAGGAGTACTGACAACAGCTAACCTAGGTATTACAGATATTCAGCCAATACATACAACTTCATCTTTCCAATTTCTAAAATTCTTTCCAACCTCTTTTTATCAACAGAAACAGACGGCAGTCTAAAAGGCAAAGGTAAAATCCATTATTCTTTTCTTGTTTTCATCATTCAATACCTAGGCTAAAATACAAAGGAAAGGAAAAAAAGGACACACAGAATGTTGATATATATGCTACAAATCTAAAAGTCTTCAAGGAGCATTTAGGAGCAAGATGATAATACTAGTACAAACTAAAATCAATGCCCAAGAAGTACACATTCTCTAACTTGATCAAATAAGTTATAAAAGTAAAAGTTGCAAAAAAAATAAATTTTCAAATTTCAGAATTACTATAAAATTCTAGCTGGCTCACTCACTAAAACCAGAAGGCACATTTACCTTGATTTGATTTTCTTTATCATACAGAATTTGTTCTGCTAATGCTTTGGAGTCTTCAAAAGTTATTTTCTGTTTATTAAGTTGATCCACTTGTTCTCTCCATTCTTCAGCTTCTTGTAAAAGCTAAAATACAAACCCAACCAAAAAAAAAAAAAAAGCAACTCATTTTTCATACTTATGTGTGGATGAACTTATTTATATATAGATATATCATTTTTAATTTTTTTAACATTTATTTATTTTTTGAAAGACAGAGAGAGAAGGAATACTAGTGGGGGAGGAGCAGAGAAAGGGAGACATAGAATCCAAAGCAGGCTCCAGGCTCTGAGTTGTCAGCACAGAGGACAATGTGTTCGAATGCATGAACCAGCAGATCATGACCTGAGCTGAAGTCAGACGCTTAACCAACTGAGCCACCCAGGCATCCCTAGATATAACATTAATAGGCGTTATATGACACAATGTGTTGCTGAGAAGGGAAGAAGAGGGTCGGGCAGGAGGAAAGAAGAGAAGGAAGGGTGGAGTCCTGTTTTCAAAGAACTTTCAAGAGGGGTGATGTAAAATAAGAAACACTTAAATATTGTTCAGTTGATTTACACAACAAATATTTCTTAAATAAAAGGCTTTTTGAGACATACTTTATGTTAGATTTGATCATTTCTTACCATCCCTTAAATCCTATATTACATGCCATACCTTATTTGTACTAGAATTTGTTTTTTAAGTCATGTGTTGTTTTGTAGTTAACTAACCTTCCAGAAATACCATTAATCTGGAACCATTTATGAAATATTATGAATGAAAAGTCCAAATTTATTAAAACTTTAAATCTCTATTCTATCCAACAGTGATTACTGGATTTCTCTGCAAAACTAAGGCATCTTTCCTAGCACAAGAAACTAAACTTTTTCTATGTATGTATAACACAATGAGAGAACACAGAGTAAAAACGACTTTGAAGAAAAAATTTTGATTCTTGTTATTAGTGGACTCTAGTCAATTAGTAAAGAAATTGCATACCCAGCATACAGTCTTAACAAGTTAGAGAAGGAGTATATTATTAGAATATGGCATCAGTGAATATAGGATAGTTTATTTCAAGAACTTTAGTGATTAAAAAGGAGTTAGATGAAACAGATGTAAAGAGTAAGACAATCTAAGTGAAAAATTTTTAAGATAGAAAAGGCCAGTTTTGATTATAACAGCAAATTTAACACAGGGTTTACCACCACTTTCTCCTGAAATCTACCAAGATAAGAATAAATCTACTAAGAGACTTAGGGGGTTAAAAAGAAAAAGAAGCATAAACCCACAAGGAGAAAGAAAATAGGTGATGAAGAAAAAGGGAATTCTAGAAGTGGAAAGCAGAAAGAGATACAAGTATAGTAAGAGATGCAGCAGACCAGACAAATCTGAAACCTACATAGAAGATGGGAAAGTCCAAATGCAGTTAATTTAATACAACCCAAAATGCTTAGAATTTGGTTGGAGGCACTAATACTCCAGATCTAAGTGAGACTAAAAAGAGGAAGACTAACTGAAAGTTTGTAAAAAAACAAAAAACAAAAAAACAGAAAGTCCCTGCACATACACATACATACATGCTTACTCTCCATCCATCCTTCCCACTCACCCACATGTCTCACATGCATGCATGCACACACACATGCATACACACACGCACACATATATATGTCTGGCAAATGCCTAGAAGGTTATCTTCTGGAGAGGTGGAAAATGAAACTCCGGGACACCTGGCCCAGGTGAAAGTGTGAGTAAAATATTGAAAACATCAAAGGATAAAGTAAAAGCTGACTTACTGGATAGTGACACACCAACAACCCCTGCCTGTCTCAGCTGCTTATCTCACTGTTGGCAAACAGGCTTACCTCTCTCAAACAGGAACTCTGGAGGAATTATCCCCGTGGAAAATGGTCTTCAAATACCAACAACTGAGGATCTTCCAATGAAACGCCCTAGCCAAATTACCCTACAGAAGAGTTTCCCGATAACACACACTGAGCTTCCAATTAGATATGAAGAGCTTCACTATTAAATGGGCAGACTGCCATGAATCACCTAATAATTGACTTTAAAATGAAACTCTTAGTGGGATGCTTGGGTGGCTCAATGGGTTAAGAGTCTGACTTTGGCTCAGGTCATGATCTCACAGTCCGTGGGTTCAAGCCCCACATTGGGCTCTGTGCTGACAACTCAGAATCTGGAACCTGCTTTGGTTCTGTGTCTCTCCTCCTTCCCCCTCTGCCCCTCCCACCTGCACCGTATCTCTCTCACTCTCAAAAATAAACATTAAAAGAAAAAAAAAGAAACTCATAGATAAAAGACATAGACCAAAACAGAAAATAAAGGAACCCAAAGTATAAAACAACTCAGAGAACTGAAAAACACTTCAAAAAAGAAAATAATAATAATAATATCCTCAGCAAGACAAGACATGGCATCCATAAATTAAGAAAAGGCATACGCAAAATAAAAAGGCCACTTACAACTGAAAAATGCAGAATAAGCCAACAAAACTTGCAAAGACAGAAAACAAAAAGGACATTTTCTTTTAGTGGAGAGTGGGGAGAGAAAGCTCGTGCATGAGTGCACACATACAAGTGGGGGAGGGGCAGAGAGAGAAAGAGAGACAGACCAGACTGCCTGATAGAGTGTCTCAGGCAGACTCCATGCTCACTCAGTCCGAGCCTGAGATGGGGCTCAATCCCAAGACCTTGGGATCATGACCTGAGCCAAAATCAAGAGTTGGACACTCAACAGACTGAGCCACCCAGGCAGCCCAAGAAGACATCTTTATGTGATTACATAATTATAGTGGGTTAAAAAAAAAACAGAAAAAGCATGAAATAATTTCCCAGAACTGAATCAAAAGCAAGAGTTTCCAGACTAAGAGAATGAAAAAAGACTCATACATTATCATGACATTTCAGAGAACTAGAAACAATGAAAGATACCAGATGAAAGCTTCCAGGGATGGAACAGGTGGGAGGCTCAGTCGGTTAAGCATCCATAGGATTCAACTTTGAGTTAGGTCATGATCTCACAGTTTTGAAATTGAGCCCCATGTCAGGCTCCATGCTGACCATGAGGCCTGCTTGAGATTCTCTTTCCCTTTCTCTCTGCCTCTCTCAAAATAAACATTTTAAATCTTCTAGGGAGGAAAAGAGCAGATCACAAAAAGATTCGGTAATCCAAATCGCATCTGATTTCTCAAAAGCAATACTGGAAAGTAGAGACAATGGACCAATTTCAGAATTTCAAAGAAAAAAAACTATTTCAATCCAGAAGATATCCAACCAAAATGTCAACAACCTTGAGAGAAGACATTCTTAGGCATGCAAGGTTTTTAAAAGCTACCTGCTATACCTATTTCTCAGGAAGCTAATCAAGAGAATTAACCACAAAAGAACAAGTCTTGGATACAGGAAATAGAAGATCCAACACAGAAGAAAGACAAGGGAATAGATGGGAGTGAAGTGAAATCTCAGGACAACAGAAGCATTAACAGACCTAGAGAAAAAGTTCCTATTGGACCAGGATGATGGAAGGCCTCAGGAAGGATTGCTTCAAGAAAAAAATAAAATTAGTAGATTAACAAAGCACTTGAATGCATACGTAAGTTATTCAGCATCTCCAGAAGACAGATCTACAGATAGGTATACAGGCAACAAAACAATTACTAACCCTAGAGCAAATAAAATGTTGTGTAAAACAGAACATGTAGTAAGAGCACATCATGTGGCTCAGTTGTAACATTTAGAAAACTGTAAATAATGCAACCAAATGAAAAATTTTCCCATGGAAAAATTTTAACTGTATTGGGAGAACAGTGAGATAGTAAATATATTTGAAGGAGGAAGTGGGTAAAAGCTAAATCTTCACTTGATCTAAGCACCAGAACGGCTTCTATCTTTAGGCCCTGAACCCACAGCGCCAATCATTCTCATGGATATTCCCTGCCTTCCTTCAGTCTGGCTTTAAGGAGATGGTACCAAGTGCTATTTGCTGTGATTATTAAAATTTGCCCTGGTTTGAGGAGGGCACTTGTTGGGATGAGCACTGGGTGTCGTATATAAGCCAATCTGACAATAAAGTATATTTTAAAAAATAAAAAGTAAAAAAATAAAATTTGCCCTGGCTTGCTTTCACTACTGGAGGAAAAAGGTGACAGGAGTATAGTTTTATACCCTATATAAAAGACACACCAAAGGATATACAGGAGATTGTCCTGCTCTCCTGAATTCCAGGGAAAGCCTAATCTTGCCCCTGGCATGGGTTAGTCATGAGTGTGTCCAGATAATTTATAATTACATATTCATAGTTAAAGAGTCCCTACAGAGTACAAACCTGTTTCTGGCTTTCCTGAAGTTGGGAATTTTCACTCAAAGCATCTTTTATAGCTATCTTAAGTCGTTCTTCATTCATTTGAAATATTTTGAAGGTCGTTTTGGCCTAAGTAAAACACAACATATCAAGCTTATAAGAATTCATTTAATAGCTCTTTTTTATACATACTCCATAAAACATGGAATTGAAGTAAAAAAAACATGTCACTATTAACAGGAAAGACAGTATGGGGTAGCAGAAAAAAAGCTACCAGGGTCCAGTCAAGGCTCTGCTACTAACTCGCCATGAGACCTTGAACAAATGATTTAACCTCTTGTAACCTTTAATGTACTGTGTAGCAAATTTTGTTAACTTCTTATTATCTGCCTCTCAACAGAATTTAAACTCACTAAGAACTTTTCTATTTTATCTACTAATGTTAAGTACCAAGCACTTTCAACGATGGTACATAGCAAGAGCTCAATAAATACCTGTCGAATAAAAAACTTTCCTAAAGTAACTTCTATAAAAGAACTACATCTACAAGACCCCTAAGTCTCATATTCTAGTATTATATCTCCTTCTTGAATCATGAAATAGTAAAACTAAAATGATTTTCAAAAGCAATAGACCTTCTAGACTAATTCAACTTACTTCAGCCACTTGTGATTTGAGAGATTTTGATTCATCTTCTAGAGACTGTATCTTTTTTGAAATATCCACCATCTGGAAAGACAGTATCACTCTGTAAACAAGTATGTACTAAAATTTTCCAGTTTCCAAGAGGTCATATATCTTAGATATATTGTTAAACTTAACACTTGCACTCAAAAACTGAGGACTTACCTTAAGAGACCTTGTCAGCCATATATGCTTACAGGGATTTAATCAATTACAACAACAGTAATTCATCTCACCTTTACTATTTCATAACATTTAAGTTATATAGGCTCAAGATAAATCCACTAACATCATATCTTACTAAATAATCTGACACACATCTAGATCTTCTTTACAACAGATTTTAAAATAACAAAGTTAAAATGTTCTCAAAATAACTTCTGAATATTAAAAAAAAATCCACTATGTATGTGATTATTCAACTTTATTTATGTAAGCTACTTCCATAACATATAGAAAATTTCTGTAAGAATATGTAAGAAACTTAATATGGAAATGGTAACCTCTAACAAATAAAAAAGCTACTGGATCTGGAAATTTTTACTCTCACCATAACAGTCGTCTGTATGTTTTGGATTTTTTAGAGTACATATAATACTTTAACTGATACCTATTAATTTTTTTAAACTCAATAACTTCCCTTTTCCTGCAGTTTCCTCAAACACAAAAGCCTTACCAATTCATCTTGTTCAGAATGCTTAGATTCCTCTTCTTTTAACTGGTTTTCCAGAAAAAGTATTTCATCCTCAAGTTCAGATTTGGAGCTGTTCAGCTTTTCATAGACTGCCTAAAAGAGGAAGCCAACTTAATCAGACAGGCATAGGGTTTTTTGATTATGATAAATCAGATAAGTATAATCAAACTTATATAATCAAAAATAAAGATATATTTTAAATACATTTAGTTTACATATTAGTTCATTTTTATGATATTTAAATAATAGCAATACTAGCAGGGGTCAGCAATTTTTTCCTATAAAGAGCCAGAGAATAAATATTTTAGGCTTGTAGGCCATGTAGTCTCTGTCCCAACTACCCAACTGTGACTATGTAGTGAGAAACCAAAGACATTATGTAAATGAATGAGCATACTGTGTTTCAATAACATTTATTTACAGGGACACCTGGGTGACTCAGTTGGTTAAGTGTCTGACTCTTGATTTCAGCTCAGGTCCTAATCTCATGGTCATGAGCTGGAGCCCCATGTCAGGCTCCACACTGGGCAGGGAGCCTACTTAAGATTCTCTCTCCTTTGCCCTCTGCCACTCATGTGCTTGGACGTACTCTCTCTCAAAATATTTTTTTAATTTTATTTAAAATCTGGTTAAAAATGAGCAGAGCACCTAAACATTTTTCCAAAGAAGACATGTAGGTGGCCAACAAACACATGAAAAGACCCCAACATCACTGATCATGAGGGAAGTAAAAATCAAAACTACAATGAGGTGTCATCTCACTCCTGTCAAAATGGTCAAAACAAAAAAGACAAAAAATAACAAGTGTTGGCAAGCATGTGGAGAAAATGGAACCCTGTGCACTGTTGCTGCAAATGTAAACTGGTATAGTCACTGTGGAAAACAGTAGAGAGATGCCTCAAAAAATTAAAAACAGAAATACTATATGATCCAATAATTCCACTACTATTTATTCAAAGAAAACTAAAACACTAATTCAAATAGATATGCATACCTGTATGTTTACTGCAGCCTTATTTACAACAGCCAAAATATGGAAGCAACATTAAGTGTCCATTGATGGATGAATGGATAAAGATATGGTATATATACAGAATGGAATATCATGTAACCATAAAAAGAGGATAAGACTTGCCATTTGTGACAATGTAGATGGACCTAAAGGGTATTATGCTAACTGAAAAAGACAAATACCAAATGATTTCATTCATATGTGGAATCTAAAAACAAAATAAATAAAAAGCAGAATCAGACCTACAAAATCAGGGAATAAACTGATGGTTGCCACAGGAAAGGCAGTGGGAGATGAGCCAAATGGGTGAAATAGAGTAAGCGACAGATTTACAGTTATGGAATGAAAAAGTCATGGGAATAAGAGGTACAGCATAGAAAATACAGTCAATGAGACTGTAATAGTGTTGTACGGTAACATATGGTAGCTGCACCTGTAGGGAGCACAGCATAAAGTATAGGGATACTGAATCACTATGCTGTAACATCTCTGTCAACTACACTCAAATAAAAAACAAATTAAAAAAAAAAAAAAGAAAAAACAGAGCCCAGAATATAATTTGCCAACCTCTGCTCTAAACCGTTCATTTAAGGGAAAAAATGAGAGGTATGATTTAATATGAAGACATAATAAAAAATTAACTAAAAAATAACCAAGATTGCTTCATAATATTCTGCATTGAATTATAGCATTTTCTCAGATTTTTTTAATTTAAAGTGATTAGTTATCGAATTATTCCAATTTGATTTTAAATACCATAACAAACGTACCTCTGATATTTGTGATCCTTCAACAAACTTGTTAAAAAAAAAATAAACCAAAAGATTCAAAGAATTTGATGGAGGCCAAAAAAATAAGAAGTACAGGTACATACAATATTATAGTGGTTAAAACAATTATTTCTATATATTTCCCCAAACGTGGTTATTTGATTATATGAAATCCCTGACTTGAATCAAAATTAGTCTATTTTTTCTTTTATTAACCATGAAATCTTTGTAATTCTATCAAGTATAGTTAATACTAAATTACATAAATCAATTTTAAAAATAAACACTACATGGTTCTTAAAATTACTAAAATCAGAGAAAAACTTCCAAAATGTCCGTTTAAATTTTACTACTATATATCATGCAAATTCAGTGTCTTAAAAATAAATTGGTATGTTTTATTTTACACACAGCACTACCAATAGCTTTTGTTGTCCAGTTTTTGCTCTTCTGTTAGAAGGCTAAATTCCTTCTACAGTTCTTTCTTTTGTAATCAAACTAGTAAGTTACTATTGAACAGTAATTAAAACAGGTCAAGAGATAAAATAATTTCAACATGTTCTTGAAGATATCAATAGGTAACAAATGAAGAAAGAAAAGATTAAGAAATATACCTCATTTGGAATTCAATTCATAACTTCCTTCAGACTCTACTAGGAAATTCTGAAACATGACCTACAGACTTTTAATTCCAGTTAGTTAACATCCACTGTTATACTTATAGACTTCCTGTTGATTATGAACATCAGTGATTATTAACAGCCAAGCTGGACTAAACACATACACCAAAGGTACAAAAGTCCATTGTTTTCTACTTAATAGTAGCTTTTTACAACACTTCCACCACTAAGCAGTAACAAGGCACTACTATTTTTTGCCTTATTTTGTTGTAGCTTAGCTAAATAACAAATTTTTAATATTTCCCTTCTTACTATTGGCTAAATCATACCTGGCTCAAGAGAGCTAACTACACATCTCTCTTCCAAATTCCACATTTAGTGATATCATGTTCATACCTTGAAATTGGGAATATTTACACAACAGAACGCAGCAAATACTACAAATAAGGATGCCTGCTTTTCAGAGAGCCAGCTGTTAAACATTTGCCAGCACATCACTGCTTAAATCTTTGGTCTAGGAGCCCCTAACTGGCTCAGTCAGTTAGGCATCCAGCTCAACTCTTGATTTTGGCTTAGGTCAGGATCTTACGGTTTGTGAGTTCAAGCCCTGCGTATCTGCACTGGCAGTGAAAAGCCTGCTTGGAATTCTGTCTCTCCCTTCTCTCTGCCTTCCCTTACCCCCAACTTGTGCATGTTCTTCTTCTCTCTCAAAAATAAACAAACATTAAAAAAAAAAAAAAA